GCCACCTAGAAAAAATACACAGAAAAATGTGGCATAAAATTAGCGATTATTCTGTTTTTCTATGTTAAAGAAATACAAAAAGGATGAGCTGCATTTAAATCCTGCTGTTATCGAACATACGTTTCCCATGTTCTCTGCTTATGCAACATTAAAAACTAGAGCACGCTGACATAAGCACCTTTTATTCAGGTTGATGGAGAAGCTCATTCAGGTCAGAGATGAAATATACTCACTCGTGCTCTCTGAGGATTCATTTGGTTGAACAAGGTGGCAATAAAAGAGCCCAAGGGAACCACCAATACAGGAGCTCCACATCGATTAACTATATAAAAACCCCAAGGAACGGACATGTCACACGCCACATGACACCATTTGTCTAAGCACTAATAGCGGTAAGCCATAACGCTGTCACAAGTGGGCGAAAGAGTTTAAGTCCACCGACGTAGGTTATTCTTTCAGCGTTTGACAATGGATAAACATAGGACACACCTGCGTTCCACTTTCAGCGTGAAGGATAGGCCTGTCAAATTAGTTAAGGTGTGTAAAACCTACTGTATGTGAGTGTGCAAAGCATGTTGTGAATGAAGGGGAATGAATGCGGTGCCGCGCTGCAAAAAAGCTTATGTTATTTTCACGGATCATCACGCTGACCTGTTAAGCCTGTTTTTCTCTATACATTCATATGACATCTCTGAATACTGAGGCTGTGCACCACAAATCTTCTTTTTTTGGCTTGAATCATTAAGAAAACCGTGGAAATTGTGCCATTTTCACCCTTGATAAGAACATTGGTCACAGTTGAAAAAGAAGGAAAAGTAAAAATAAACAAACAGGAGACAATGCTGGTAGGAGCGTAATGGTATGTTTTTGCTCTGTTATGTCACTTCACCTTCAACTCGTCCCTCAGTTTGTAAAAACGAACGAAAAATGTTGGCAGTGATGCAGTTACAGTGGAGGTCTATGAAGCAAGGCATTTCAAAAAGCAGAAATATTAAGCTTGCATATACAACTATTTGAAAATCTGAGGGTGCAAAAAAAATCAAAATACAGAGAAAATCGCCTTTAAAGTTATCCAAATGAAGTTCTTGCCCAGCGACTTAAGACTGGTTTTGTGGTCCAGGGTCACATATACACACACACACACACACACACACACACACACACACATATATATATATATATATATATATTTCACATTAAATTGTGGCAAACGATTTATTTCATATCAATACTATTCATTTGAACTTTCTATTCATCAATGAATCCTGAAACGCATCACGGTTTCCACACAAAAATCAGTTTTCAACATTGACAATAATAATAAATGTTTCTTGAGCACCAAATCAGCACATCACCATCTTTGCTGTCACAGGAATACATAAAATTGTGAAACATATTAAAATAGAAAACAGTTATTTTAAATTGTAATAATATCTTACAGTATTACTGCTTTTACTGTATTTTTTGATCATATAAATGCAACTTTGGTAAGCAGAAGAGACTTTCAAAAACATAAAACAAAATCTTACCAAACCCAAACTTTATGAACAGTAAAATGAGTTACACTAGCTGTAAAGTTGTCTAAATCATCCTTTCAGTGGTCAGACTTCTTTTCTAGAGGATAAAATCTGATTATGCAGGCCCAGATGGAAAGCAAAAATAAAGTCTGCAGATTGCCCACAATAATCTGCGGACTTTATTTTTGTTTCCCATCTGGGCCTGCATAATCAGACTTTTATCCATAAACCACAATAATGACCCTAATATATTAAAATAATTTTATCAGAATACATGACTAACTACATCTACCACAAGAAGCCTAATGCTAACATTCCAAATCTCGACCTCTTGGTTACGTCATGTCATTGTTTACATGTTCATAAATGAATAAAGATCGCAAGAACCTTTGAAGAGACAAGGTTACAAGGCCGCTTCATCATGCTAGTCACTCACAAAGTCTTGCAGCTATACACTTCTGAAGCAGTTTAGTTGTACTTTAACTTTTATCCCATTGCAATGCCTTGCCCCATGGACTCTCATTATTCTTTGAAACTGAAGCAAGTTTATTCTATTATACTGTGAGAAGAGCAAGAGAGAAAGATGGCTAGAGGGTAGCAGAACATGTCTGCGCATTCTTCTACCTGTTGCTAATGGTGAAAATAGGCCCTGAGGCTACATGGGCCCAACCCAAATCTATCTGATGTTTTTAGTCTCTTTCTCTCTGTCTCTGGTATCATGAGCTATAAAGCCCTATTTCACAGGCTGGTAAACATTTGAAAATCCCCCCAAAAAATCAAAGAAGATCTTCACCTGAAAGAAGACAGCCATGGCGGCGATGATTCGTCTCTCCTTTATCGCGGTGCTCAGACTGTCAAAATCATCTGAATTGTAGAAATAAATCTGCATCTACGAGGCAAAGAGATGAGAACATGTTTTTATAACTGCATTCTTAGTTGACAGGGTTTGAAACGGCTCATACTAATGTTCTGCTTTGACTTTCCTGTTTGGTAAACACAAAGCATTGTGGTATCGAAACTGGTACAGTACGCTGTCAAATCCTCACAAATTGATATTCCTCGCATCATCTTCACACGCACAATAACGGCATATCTGGCGTATCCTACTTCTCTCATCACTCCACGTTTTGACATCTGAGACAACTAAGGATTATATGCTTTCTCTCAGGACGGATTTGGGGAGAAAGCGAACCTCGGAAGCAAATCCCCCCAGTGCGGCGCAATAAACAACATGTCTTTGTTGCCTTAAACATTGTCTCTGAACAAACGCACAAAGTGCCACGTGTCAAATAAATGCTAAATCTACTATTACAGAAAAAACAGGGACGATCGCACAAAGACAGAGAAGGGGAGAAAGGAAAGCGGGATGAATGGCATGTCGACGCTCACAGCAGCTGAGCAATCGGGAAAGAGATCGTTGAAATGCAGGGAATAAGATTAAGCCTCGCTATGACAATCACGTTCCAATTGAGCTTATTTTCTGGCAGCCTTTCATGCGGCGGCATTATTTGCCTGCCGATGTTGTTTTCTCTTCATTTTATTTTGTGGACTTCGCTTTAGCACATTTCCCTGGTCATTTAATGGTGCGTGTAAGAAAAATAGCAAGCTCTTATTTTGTTAGACCAGTGCTTCTCAACTGACGGCGAGGCAGTCTCTTTTGATAAGGTTGCAGACAGGAAAAGAGAAAGCAATGCTAAATGCAAAGAATAAAATGCGGCTAACCATATGATCTTACATTTCAGGACAGGAAAATACTTTTTTTGAAAGAAATAAAGCAGAGGCTTTGTGTAATATCCAATCAAACTCAACCTTTTAGAAGCTAGACAAATTTGCTATAGTAAAACATGCATGGTAAAAAATATGACACAAACTACATAAACAGGTTACAGATATAATATTGGCCTGTTATGTGGTAGCTAAGGCATTCTGGGTGGTTTTTAACATTTTTTTTTATGTACTGTAGTTGCATACTAACACTCTGGGGTCCCTAGATATGAATTTATAGTAGGTATATGGATTTGCTCACTTGCTTTATCATCAGCCAGACAAAAAACACAAGTCTGATCACTTAAAAAATTAAAGAACATTCCTCCTCAAAAAGATGCACGATTTGAGATACGATTAAATAGTATGATATAGTGAGAATGTGGAGCTCAATCTCAAGGAGGAAAAAACGCTTCACTTTTATTCAGAGGCCCAAAGTGAGAAATAATATGCAATTTTGTAAAGACAACAGCCTACTTAAATCAATTAGAGAACAGATTACTTGCATAAAATGCATATAAATAACAGTAATCACGCTGTATCTCCCAAAAATGCCTTAAGATGATATTTAAATGCTTTATATATCTATTTTAATTTAAATAATTTTATTATCAAACCTCTGTTTACATTATAGCAAGATATTTCTAAAAAATGATGTATGGATAATCAAGTAACCCCAAGTTGTTTCAGTCCAATAAATGTTATTCTTAAGTTTACTTTATAAAAATCATTAAAGATTTCATAGCAAAAATACATGTGCACCACAACCTGAAGGCGGACATTTTTAGATGTCCTTTTTGCACCCTTTTTTAAAGTATTATTATTATTATATAAAATATGTAAAAAAATATTTTATCTAAAGTTTCAATAAACTGTTCCAACTATTCCAAAAAAACGATCATTTCATGTCAGGCTTCCCAGGTTTAACATCTAAAGCAAACAGTATGTGCTGAAGTTTAATACTTCGGTTTAAGAGTTCATTTAAATACTCATGCTGATGCTTGCCTTGGCAAGCGCAACACTAATAAAAGTGGCAAAAAGGCCAAAAAATAAAATGAACATTATTGCTGTTGTAGTTTAATTTACTGTGCCAGATTTGAGCCAGAGGTCAATAGAAGTCGTCGAGAGATAATTGGATGCATCTCTTCTCAGTCTCTGTCTTCAGTGCGTTTGGGTTTTAAATCGCTAGATAATGCTTAGCGGCTATCCAGCGGCGTACGGATACACATCAATTGTATTTCGGTGTAAAATGGGATTTATGGAGCGAAGTCGATTCGTCTAATGAGAAAGTGCTGCCAGAGAGGTGGAGCCAGCCCAGGTCGTCTGACCTCTGTGCCAGCTAATTTCCAACAAACTTAAGACTGATGAATACAAATGCAACAAACTTAGACTGATGAATACAAATGATTTTGCTTTCCCATCCTCTAAATTGTTGTTGTGTAGACAGTGTATTGATAGAAAATAAATACTGCTAGATCATGGATAAATGCCAGTAGGGTTTGGCTCAAAAAGTTAGCATTCGTTTCTACTCTGCACATACTCTGACCTTGTTGGAACACTGAAATGAAATGGAATGAAATAAAGAGCTATTTCTGTAACGGAGACTGGTACACCCTTGGCAAAGCAACAGACATGGCAAAGGAACCCAGGGCATTTTAGGCAACAGCTAGGCAACAGATAACTAACCTCCAAACAAAGTAATTAAGACCAGACAATGTCAGAAGGGGTGGACAATGAATTAAGCCGCTAATAAAGAGAAGAAAGAACAAAGTTCAAGCCTTTAATGAAAACCAATCAGTCTCCTTCAGGCCTCTTTTAAATCACAGACTTTAATGGTGTCCATTTATTGTGTCTTCACAGAGGGAAATATATTACTCATTTATCACTAACCCTCATTAGCCAATTAGCTTCCTCCAAGAGCCAATACAGAGTTTATGGTGACCGAGAGTAAAGCACAGCACAAACACGTTCAGTTAATGAATCAAAATGGGACAGAAACCATGTGCGGAAACAAAAAAAAGGCCAGCATACACTCGACTTAACATGTTCCAGCATATAATGTGTGATTGCATAACAATATTTAACTTGAATGCAGTGGTCCATTCTGAATTCTCTGGCTATGCACTCAAAATAAAAAATGATTGCAGTGTACACTATTTCTTACACCTAACTCTGTCTCGCACAGTTCTCAAACTTGAATGTGCATCCAGTGTTTTCAAGGGCAAATGGAGAAGGTTTACCATCAAGAGTTAATACTAATCTTGCACAAAATAATATCTGCAAGGTAAAAGAGACACTTTTTGAACTGTATGGTTGTTAAAAACAAGTACCCTGTAAGGCATGGAAAGGAATTACACTAATTAAAGATTTAAGGCTTTTCGTCATTGTTGACAGAGATGAGCACTGGGGCTCAGTACTTCTTTTCTCATATCCACAAAATGTTTATATGATGGATGGATGGATGGATGGATGGATGGATGGATAGATAGACCAGAATTCAAATCATTTTAAAAGTTATCACTCTGAGGTGAGAAGGAAGCTGAATATCCTTGCTCTTCAGTGAAATGTAGCGGCTGCACCATCAAGTCAATAAAACGCATCGATCCCAGTTTCATTGAGAGGTTCTTCAATTAGTGCAGATTAGTACTCCACTTTCAACCTACTCAAGTCAAGGTGGAATCCTTGAACTTTATTGAAGAAACTCATTTAGTAATGTTATCCTCGTCTAAAATCCATTCCTAATAAGATTTTTTTTAAATGTGAAAGTGGGTGGTTTAAGGACTATTCACAGGGACTGTTGTGAACAAGGTTTTGTAAAGAAACAATGGATTCCTTTAGGCCTTTTGAAACCAGGCACAAACTTTTTTCTTTGTCAATAAGAGATTTGAGATTTTGATCAGGTTTCCAGAGCTGTACGGATGGTACTAACATATGGTCATTCTGTGTCAAATCAACTAAATTTCAGAAATTTCCCCAGCTCAAATTTTTGATTTTGTCAATATTTTTTCTGAAGAAAGATAAACATGTAGTGATGAAAGCCAAAATATTAAATGTCATGGATGTATATTGACTGAGTAATCCACTATTTTGTAGAGGGGGGTCAAAATGACAGTTTTCACCTGAGATTGAGCCAGATTACAGGGGGGTAAAAACGACTGAACTGGGGACCACTGGTCGAGTTGACATGGAATGATCCATACAAAAGAATAAATGAATAAATGGAACTGGAACTGTTTTTTTGAGTGTAGTTAACGTACTGAGCATTACACACATAATGCGACACACTCACCTCTACTGGAAACTTCTTTCCATTGATACTGTGCTCAGAACCAGCTGATCCATTGGTGCTGCCCCAGTGAAACTCCACTTTTTCTGCTTTGAAGCGTCCAGGTAGGCCGGCCCCTCTCACAAAGTAATCATTCTTCAGAACAATAGACACTGGAATGAAAAAGAAGACCAGATGAGGGAGTTAAATACTTTTACAAATAAATATAAATATTTATTTTACATTTAATGAGCCGTAGTATGTAAAACTAAGACTGCCAAGTATATATATATTTTTAAGCTGCGCAATTCAACAACAGATAATGCAGGCAGATATATATATATATATATATATATATATACACATTTCAATATCCCACTTTTCTTCAGACTGTAAAATGCTCCAGAGGAATTTTGTCTTTTTTATGTTGACAAAGGACCTTTAAAACAAATAATGAGGCAGAAGAAACTGAGTGTGTACTCTGCAGGCCAGAGCGGACACATCAAAATGAGCTCCATGGGCTCTCCTGGCACAGACCGTCACATTATACCGCATTAAGAGATGACCTCTTGACTCTTTAAAGCTTGGATTGGTAAACAAATTGAAATATCTTCTGCTGGGTAGTCTCTGCAGAAACAGGATAACTACTTCATACAACTTGTTTTTCCATGGCCAATTAATGAGCATGGTCAAATTCAATGCTGTTTTAAAACATTCTGGACATTTTAATCCATTTAACTGTAAATGAAGTCAAATAGGAGCATCATCTGCAGCATTACTGACCCTATTGTTAATAAATCAGAACATTCACAGTCAGATCATAAAAACATAAACTTTACCATGCATTTATTGAATGTTCAACTTAGAATCACCTTACAAATAGCTTATAATTGTCTCTGCATTTTGTGATTGGATAGGAGAAAGCAACAATTACATTACAATTACATATTTCACATCAAATCAGATTTAAATGGCTACTTTAATTGGTTTTCATTTCATAAAACACTTTTTATGCCGATTGGTCAAGGCCTATTCAAGTCCTTTGTTGAGTCTAGGATGAACTACAAGGAACCACTCAAGAACATCTAACACAAGAAAAGCTCTCGTGTGGAGATCTTGGTTTAATTCTTAAGTAAACTAAAGTGTTGGGGGGTGAGAACAAACAAACTGATTTAGGCGGATATGAGGGATGTTTGTGGAGAGATGGGATCTTTTGGTAAATACACACACAACGCTGTATGCACATACTGGGCTAAAGACTCGTGGTACACGGGAGACGCTCGTAATACTGGGGTTTTAAAGGATCTAACGCTGTGCTCTGTAAACAGTAGAAAAAGCTCCTATGGTAATTATGCCACAGCGTGTTTATGGTCCTGGCGAGCATTTCCAAAAACCTTCTCAGGAGTAAATATAGCGCTCTACAGTGTGCCATTCTCAAAATTACTCCTAATTAAAACCAAGAGAAAGCAACATTTCAAATGCGCAAAGAATGCTGTCGCACCATCATCCTTGGCTAGTGTTAGGTTTGTAGGCCAAAAAGGGATGATTTTCCTACAAATGAGTACAACAAAAAAAACGCAAAAAGTAGACTACGGAAATTTGGAAAATTGAACATTTATCTATTACAATAATTAAAAAATATGGTAACACTTTATTTCGATAGTCCACTTTAGACATTCTATTAACAGTAAGTAACTTTGCAACTACATGTCAACTAGCAGTTAGTAGAGTATTAGTAGACTGTCTGCTTAATATCTTCTAACACTTTCTTTGTCAACTTATTCTACTAACCCTAAACCTACCCTAACAGTCTACTCTGAGAGTTAGTAGACATGTAGTTGCAAATTAATGAGAATTAGCTGACATGTAGTTGACATGTAGTTACAAAGTTACTTATAGTTAATATAATGTCTAAAGTGGACTATCGAAATAAAGTGTAACCAAAATTTTATTTTTTTTCTCCTTTTTTTTGATGATGACGACATATTCAAATTATTCATATGTATTCACACTACTATTCAAAAGTTGAAGGTCAGTAAGATTTCTTTTTTTTTTTAAAGAAATGAATACTTTTATTAAGTAAGGTTCCATTAAACTGATCAAAAGTGACAGTGACGACTTTTACATTCTTAGTACAAAAAAAATCTATTTCAAACAAATGCTGTTGAACTTTTTACTCATAAATGAATCATGCAAATGTACCAAGATTTCCACAAAAACATTAAGCACAACTGTTTTCAATATTGATAATAATACGAAATGTGTCTTGAGTACCAAATCAGCATATTAGAACCATTGCTGATGGATCATGTGACACTCAAGACTGGAGTAATGGCTAATGAAAATCCAGCTTCGCATCACAGGAATAAATTACATTTTAAAATATATTAAAATAGAATATATTTACTTAAAATTGTAATAATGTTTCAGAAAATGAATGTTTTTACTGTATTTTTGATCAAATAAAAGCAACCTTGGCGAGCATAATAGGTTTCTTTTAAAAACATTTGAAAAAATCCTCAAACCTCAAACCTTAATTTTGAGTTTAAGTCTTAAAAAAACAAACAAAAATAAAAATAAAGCTGCTCATATTTCCACATCTGCAAGGCATCAAAACAGATCTTATAGGAATGTTGTGAGGGCAGTGAGCATGTATGATATTTGCTTGGGCTTTGACTTTCAAACTCCCTCAGACCTGATGCAACTGTCTGTCATGATGGGACACTTGCAAACTGTTTCTTATAGTGCAATTATTTGGAAATATTTTTAACATTTAAGTGGCCTAAAGCTAAGAGTGCAATGATGGTCAAAGTTCTGACACGAGAGCAGATGAGTATTGTTAAGAGTTTCATTCTTTGGCGAACCTGTTTTGCCTGTGTTCTTCATGGTGGTCCTGTTTGACGACTTCTTTTCAAAGCCATCCAAGGTCAGCTCCTGGCACTCTTGAGAAACCTGTGTGTCTTGATCTGGGATATCCACTGGAGACTGATTCCTTTCCCCGCATTCTGGATAAGCAGAGGGCCACCTTCGTGGTCCGTAGGTGCCTGTGAAAGAAAAATGAAGAATAAACAAGAAACTTTACATTTGCATCACATTTACACATTGGCAGATGCTTGAAAGCAACTTCAAAAGCACATAGAAAAAGTCTTAGATCTTTGAGTTCAGCTCATGAAAAATGGGGGCAAAAACAAAAGTGTTGCGTTTATAATTTTGTTCAGTGTATATATTATAAGTATGTATGCAGCACCATTAATTTAACAACATAAACTATGAGACATTTAAGCATTCAAAAATATAATTGTATAGTTAATGTATAAAGTCCTTTTTAAAATTATGATTAAAATTTCTATTAATATGTAATGGAAAGTATATATTTTACAGCATTTCTTCACACTTTTTAATCACCTTTTTCCTTCACTAGGCCATTTTAAAAGGTCCTGTGGTGTGGCAAATTACTTTTTAAAAGTGAAAATATTTCAAGCAGTCTCTCAGTTAACACGAGGCCTCTTAAAAAAAATTAAAATAGAATGACTAATCATTAAAACTTTAAAAAACAAAACTGAATTTGCAAAATGCTGTTTTAGATAGAGTACATCATGTCACACACCAGGACAGAATTAAATTATTCCTCTGTTGACTAAACATTGACTCATCTCTGTCTAGCAGTTGAGGAAAAGTACACATTTGCAATGTAAATCTGAATTAGCAAAACACAAATGCAATGCAAACGTTTTCTACACATAAATCCCCTCTTCTCGTGATGTTGTTGAGCTATCAATTTGATACTCATCAGCCATCTGTGTTGGTCTGAGACAGAGAAATATAAGCACACATGTTCTGCAAACATGCAGCGCTAAACTGATGAATGGTTTCATTACCAGTGGTGGCAGACGTATCAGAGTCCATGTCATAGTGGTGTATGTAAATTGCCACCTAATGCTTAATGCTTTGCGCATCAAATTAAGGCTCGCACACAGTATATGAATAATAATCTGTGACATGTTGAGGGTTGCGGTAAACAGCTATATGTCTGGATGGGAATCTTAAGAGCAGTAAAAACAAGTGCGTTTCTCTTTAACAATCTGTGCAAACTATCTTACAAAGGAAAACTCTCATTTTAATCACCATTTTTCAGCTTCCTGCAAGGACAAATGTACACAGCAATATGTTATTATAATTTCTGAAGAGCAGTTATGGGGCGCCTGAAGCTAATCACTCCAATTTTGGGACCTGTTTTCCAAGAGTCAGATTAAACAGACTTTGCTATGGCAACCTGAATACTCTTAGTCACAAGAAGGTACGAAATTCAACTAACCACTATAATTTTATCATCAGCACTGCGGGTGCTGAGATTCTTCCCAGTCTAGATAGTGAAAAGTGGGAAGAGAGGAGAAAAACCTCATGGGATTGGTTCAACAGAAGCACGGTTGCCATCACAACGCTATCTTGTGTACACACTGACCGCATACCAATCAAAAGCATAGTCAAAAATGGACTTGCGTTTTGAAGCAGTTTTTGAGTTATAACCAAAGTATTTTATGCTGTAGGTTCAAAGACGGCACATCAGATTTGCCCTCGGGCTTGACGGTCTGATCGTGGTGTCAAGAATGACGTTGTCTCTAATCTTCTGTGCTAAAAGTCTGCCGACTCCCAGCTGAGCTCAGTCGCGCTTATTTTCCCCGTCGATAGACTGTATGACATCCTGTTGATATTCTGAGAAACATGAGTCCGTCAGAGTTTGGTTTGTATATGACTGACATGGGTCGTAGGTGGACAGCAGAGTATGGAAAACTGCTTTTATACCAACCAAACAAATCACACACCGTCAAACAGACAAAAACTCTAGAAGCGCACACTTTACACAAAAAACGTTAATATTGAGTATTTTATATTTCACTAATATTGCCAGTAGGGCTGGACGACATGGCCTAAATTTATATCACGGTATATTTCTTAATTTCGGTCTATACGATATAATTCCGATATCGGATCAAATAAATGCAGCCTTGGTGAACAGAAGAAATTCTTTAAAAAAAAAAAAAAAATATTACTGTTAAAAAACTTTAGACTCGTAGTGTAGGCTGATTCTTTTTATAGATTGAAACAAATGTGCTTCAGCCAGAATAAAGAGTATGAAAAGTGCTCTTAGTTGCTGCGGAAAACAAAAAAAATTGAGCAACAACAAAAACATGTTGCTGGTTTAGAGTGCTAAAACTAGCGGTTTCCCCATTAACGGCTGTAATCAAAGCAGCTCCGCGCATGAACGCTACTTTATCAGATAAAATGAAAATGTCATCTAAACTTTTCTGAAGACAGTCGGTTTCCTTCAGAGATACATTCATATAAAACACCCGTGCCCTGTTTTGATTTTGAAACGTGCAGTGCTCATGTTTATTCAACGTTAAGTCAAACGCCACAAATAAATCAATGTATGGGAAACACTGGTAATGTATATCGAAATATCGGAAATGTGTTTAAAAATCATATCACCGTTATTGAAAAAAATTATATCGCGATACATATTGATATTGAATTACTGTCCAGCCCTAATTGCCAGTTACCCTATGTATTTTTTTTGCTCCATTAACGAAAATAGTTCCAAATAAATCAAACTAGCATCTCCGAGCAACACAGCACAGCCGTTCATCTTCCTTCCTGAAAGAATCAACGATTTTTTGATTAATTGATTCAGTGAATGATTCAATGACTCGCTCATTGACAATCACTTGTTGTGTTCCTGAATGAATCGATGCTTTTGAATGAAGCGATTGGGTTGCCTGAATGACTCAATGATTCACTCATAAAGACAGTCACTTGTTGCCACCTACTTGTGTATTGATGTAACCTTCAGAAACAGTGACTGAATAATGCCTAAATGTACAGATAAATGCATTATAATGCAAATAAAACAAAATAAAACAAAACACTAGTGGACCAAGCCATCAAACACTGAAAGCTACTGGAGATGCCCTGACCAGTTTCAACCCAGCACCTAGGTCTCTGGAACAGGAACACTGAGACCACCAGAGAATGGGGGAGCTCTTTTTTTTTTTTCAATCTGACAGATTAAGGTCAGATCACTTTCCATTGGGACAGAAGAAGTCACGGTTCTCCTCTTTTAAGGAAAGGTTACTCCTCTTACCCAATTAATGAGGGGACAAGTAGGTCATTCCAAAGTTCTTGGCCCGCCGCTACGGTGCAGAAATCTCCTCGGAGCTCTGCTAATTGACATCAATTTTCCAGCAACGAAAAAGCAACTGGTTTTTTCAGCTGTGAATATTTTGCATTCAGACAACACGGTTGTCCAAGTCCAAAATGATGAATTGATTTTACAATCTGGCGCTGTTTTTCCCCCCAATGTCAGAAGCCAATTAAACACATCCTGAGGGTTATCCTGGCTTTTACTGTATCTCCTCAGGGTTCTGCGTCTATGCTTTTAGGCTGGCAGCTCAGACGACAGTCAGCCACTTGTTTTTTCCACCCAGGCGTAGAGTCTCGGTGCTAATATGATTCTTAGATGGATGCTGGATTACCGCTTTCCACCTCCCCATTGATTTCTCCTTGGGCCAGACTCCTGTGTTCTGATTTGTTAAGTGCTGGCACAGTGTGCCTGAACCAGCTGTCGGTTTTTGTCCCAGCAGGGGTAGGATATCTGCACAAAGACACTTCACCTGGAATACTCAATCTCTCCTCCAGATTCATCCCGCTTTTACATAAGCCTCCCCACAGCAATGCAGGTCACCATTTTCTCTGAAATAGATTTAAAACACCTGCACAAAGCTGAGACGAATTCCCTCCGCTTTCTGATCTCCTAATTAATTAGTCATCTGGGTCCCTTTGTGAAAAGACCAAGACGCGGTTCTCATCCTAAACTATCGGCCTACGGTATTTCCTGCCGTAGGCCGATCCATGTCCGTCCAACTGACAGTCCACAAATCTTCACTGAACCATTTAATCTCTCCATGTCACAGACTAAACAACTGGCTCTGCCGGCATCTTCAATTGTTACAGTGACACTACATCCACCACGTCAGGGTGATCGGTGAATCGTCATCGGAGTCGCTCAACGTCTCTCTCACTTCAACACTTTGTTCTTAAGGACCGTATACATATCTGACGACCGGTCACCTCAGACGACGTGGCTCACGAGCTGCAAGATGCAACAGCTTTCATCGCATCACACTGAGAGATGTGTTGAGGGAAGGTGATAGCTTGACAGTTTTGTCGTGTCTTCTTGTGTCTTGCTCTCTCAATCACAACAAATTTTCAGCAACACAAAGAGGAAACCTATTAACTCTTCTTCACAGACTGAGAAAAAACATCAGAGGAGATATGACAAAATCATTAACGGGACTTACATGGATAGTTCACCCAAAAATTTAAATACAATTCAGTCATCATTTACTCGCCCTTACTGTTATAATATTCATTATGCAGACAAAAACAGTTGAAAAATTCTTCAAAATATCTTATTTTGTGCTGCATAGTAGAAAAAAAGTCATAAAATTTTGGAACCACATGAGAGTGTGGTTGAACTCTCATGTTGTTCCAAACCTATATAATTTTCTTCCGTGGAATACAAAAGATGAATATAAGGAAAGGTATATTTAATGTGCTAAATGACTAAATGTAAATGTATATATATTACTGTACGACTCCTGTACGCCACCGCAATCGTCTTCACCTTGATTGCAGTCTTCATCCATCAAAACTTTACTAGCGAGACTGGTTATCCAGTCGAGAAAACGTAGTTTGCGTCTCATCTGGCCATACATCGGTGGGATGTGTTGACATTCCGTTCAGTCTGTACTTCACACAAGCGCATTACATGTGAGGGCTCGCGCTCTTCAGAGAAAATCACAGAATATTACAGAGCTCGTGTTTAAAAGCGAAACACACTGGAATGAATAATTCACTGAAAACGCAACGCGAGTCTCTGTTCTCTCTGCAATCTCTGATGTAATCAGCCTGGTTTCCTTTATATTAGCGCTGTTTTGGACGGATTGTTTGAATGCATTCACTTACTGGATCATTGGACTGAAAA